CCTGCTAAATAATGAAGCTGGAGCTGAGCATGGTGGTGCACACCTGTAATCCCAGCACTCTGGGAGGCTGAGGCAGGAGGATCACAAGTTGAAGCCCAGGTGAGACAATTTAGTAACCTGTCTTGAAAAGGGGGAAGGCTGGGGATGTGGCTCAGTAGTAGAGTGACCCTAGGTTCAATCTCCAGCTTCAGAAACAAAAACGGGCTGAGGATTTAGCACAGCAGCACCATGCCTACCTCCCAAGCACAAGGTCCTGAGTTCGATCTCCAATACTGGGGGCGGGGGTTGGAACTCTACCCCACACCACAGGCAAAAACTAATTCAAAATGAATCAAATGCCTAAATGTAAGAGCTAGAACTATAAATCTCTTGGAATAAAACCTAGGAATAAATTTTCATGTACTTGAATTAGGCAAAAGAAATATAAACAAATTAGGCATCATCAAAATTTAAATCTTTTGTGTTTCAAACTGCCCCCAAAAAATAAAGTGAAAGGGCAACACATAGGAGAAGAATTTTGCAAATCTGATTTCTGATAGTAGACTTGTACATAGAATATGTATATAACTCTCAGAACTCAGTTATGAAAGGATAAGTGAACCATTTAAAAATGTGCAAAGAATCTGAATAGATATTTTTCCAAAGAAAATATACTGAGAAAAAACAAAAAATATATATATTCACCACATAATGGATCTAAGAGATCCGAACACATACAGATACGTTCAACATCATTACCTATCAGGAAAACACGACTTACAATCATAATAAGGTGCTACTTCAAGTCCGCAAGGGTGGCTATAATTTTTCCAGAAACATAATAACAAGTGTGAGAGAGGATGTAGAGAAACTGGAACCCTCATGCACTGCTGATAAAACTGTAAAATAGCGCAGAGCATTTTGGGCAGTTCTCCAAAAGGTTAACGATGGAATTACTACACGGCCATCTGGTATTCTATTACGTCCGTTATTAGAGTTATCATTACCACATGGTACATTATCAGCCCCCACGTATATCCAAGTGAAATGAAAACACATATCTCAGATGTGACCGTAACAGTGTTTTCATGATAGTCAAAAAGTAAAAACAATCCATATTTCCATCCATCGATGAATGGATAAATGAAATGTGACATCTCTATAATATGGAATACGATATGGCAATGAAAATAAATGAAGCCCCAATATATGTTGCAACACGAATGAACCTTGAGAACATGCTACATGAAAGAAACCAGCCACCAAAAAACCACATATTGTGTGGTTCTATTTGTACAAAATGTCCAAAATAAGCAAATCTGTAAAATAAAAAAATCAGAGGTTTCCAGGGCTGGGGCAAGAGAAGCATGAGTAGCTGCTAATGGGTATGGAGTTTTTTTTTTTTTTTTGGTGGTGCGGGGGGAGATAAAAATATTTTTAAATTGATTCTGGTGACGGTTTACCAGCTCTGTGAGTCTATCCAAGTCCACTGAATTCTATACTTTAAGTGGATGAATTATATGGTGTGTGAATTGGGTCTTAATGGGGCAGTCATCTCAAGAGGGAATTATAAAGCACACTGCACTAACACAGAATGAAGCAACCCTTAGCTGGGCCACTCACAGCCTCTCATTCAGGAGTCTAAGAACAGACTCGGCGAATAGCATTCCTGTTTGATTTCTGTCAAAGTAGTGAGTACGAGCAGATGCTGCGTTCCCGGTTATCCTTCCGCCAAGACTTTGGACTGTGAGTTAGATCTCAGGGAGAATTTGGCTCCAACAGCGAGTGAATGTCTTCTGTTCTAAGAAAGCAGGGGCGGTTCAACGCTCCACTGCTTCTGCATGTCCTGCCGTGAACGTTTACCCGCGAGTTCACAGCCAAGACACAGACGGCATCGGTGACTCTCTGACACGTGGCAGGGTCTGGGCCTCCTGCATCCACTCGGCGCGCAGTCTCCACTGTGCTTGTCTGCACTATAAACGATTCAAACCCTTCTGCACAAGCTGTGTACACCCTCCACACACCCGTTGTCCATCGCTTTGAGGGTGAAATCTGACCGAGAGAACAAAAAACTGCAGCAAACTGATGTTTTCACTGGGCTGATGACCAGAGGGACCAGATGTGGGTTTGTTTGTTTTGTTTTTGTTTTTGTTTTTGTTTTTTTGGGTACCAGGGATTGAACTCGGGTCTTGAACTCGGGTCTTGCAAGGCAGGCCACCATACCGCTGAGCTAAATCCCCAGCCCTGAACCTGATGTGTTAAAAGTCTCCCTGTACTCAGTTGACTTCTGTTATTTGCCCACCACTGGGAGGCTAAAATAGGAGGACTGCAAATTCAAGGCCACCGGGGGCAATTTAGCAAGACCCTGTCTCAGAGTTTTAAAAAAATGTCTGGGGGTGTAGCTCAGTGGTAAAGTGCTTGCCTAGAACGTATGAGGCTCTAGCTAGGTTGAATCCCCTGTACTGCAAGACGTTTTTAAAGGAATAATAGCCAGGCATGGTGGTGCACTCCTGTAATCCCAGCACTCAGGAGGCTGAGGCAGAAAGATCACCCTGGTTGAATCCCCTGTACTGCAAGACGTTTTTAAAGGAATAATAGCCAGGCATGGTGGTGCACTCCTGTAATCCCAGCACTCAGGAGGCTGAGGCAGAAAGATCACCCTGAGTTCAAGGCCAGCCCCAGTTACATAGTGAGTTTGAGGCCAGCCTGAACTGCATAGCGAGACCATGTCTCAAAAATCAAAATTTAAAAAAAAATACTGGGCAAGGGATTTAGCTCAGTGGCACCACACCTGCAAGTGCAAGGTCCTGAGTTTGATCCCTGGTACCAAAAATAAAAGCACTAATAAACTCCATGAAAACAGCATGTTGCTGATTCTTACCAGATGTTGTAGCTTAGCAAGATTCTGAGCCTGAGACCTCATGGTTTATCTGGGAGATTAGCAAGAATTCCAGACCTGTTCAGATCAAGAGGAGTCTTTCTCAAATGATTAAATGAGAACAGAAAAGCTTAGAACATTAGAGAAGCCCTTTGCCTCTTCACAACTCCTTGCTGGAACATAATCTTCCTATAGGCAGCGGGGTGCTGGACTACAGATTAAGTCCTGCTCTTTCCACATTCACAGGCTTGGAAAATGATTTGTAACAATGAAATCACCTACAAAGCACAGTCATGGTGCCCGGGTGGTGTGCACGGGACTTTGGGGTTCTCTGGGAGTAGTTGTTAGGATAATTTTCACTCCGTGATCTCAGAGCAAGGGATAGGTTTGCTGAGGAAGCCGGGGCTGGGTTCGTCCCTGACGGCTCCTCTAACCTCGAGGGCTTGGGGCCCGGCGGGCAGGCAGCATGAGGAGCTCCGTTCCCAGCCTAGCAGAGCCAGTGGGGTGGGAGTGGAAGCCCCGGACACTTCGGGCTCCTCCGACCTGGGGAGGAGAGTGGAGCGAGCTGCAGTGTCCAGAGCTCAGGCCGGGCGTGAGCAGGCTCGGGCAGGCGTGGAATCTCTGCTCAGCCAGGAGCGGCTGGCGTAGCAGGCCTGGCCGTTGGGTGGAGAGCCGGGCCGTTGGCAAAGACACGAAGCTGCTACCCTCAGGGAACTCGTGATCTCACAGGGGGAGCCCTGGTCACACATTACTCTAACACAGGGTAAAACAAGGTGAACTTTTCTTCTTTGAACGTTATAATGGTTGCAAGTGACAGGTGCCCACTTAGGGGTCAGCACACATGCACACGAATGTGTATTTGCTCCCATAGCCCAGGAATAAGTGACTTCAGGCTCTGCTGGATCCAGGGGCTGAACACAGTGACAGAATCGAGGCCCAGTGGGACGTCCAGTGACCGTGGTCGTGGACACATCTTCCAGAGCCTGGCGGGGGAGGAAGGCAAATTGACAACTCAAATCTGCCTGGGGAAGGAATTCCCCCAACACCAGGGTGAGGGGGAGAAGCAGCTGGGCAGACAGGCGGCATGTGCCCCCCACAGGGGCCTGGGCAGGAGTTTCATGTAGGAGGGAGTCTTGGTCTGGACCTGAACTTACCGTACAACTGGGGCCCCAGGGACAGGCCCGGGGCGTTCCTGCCCTGTGTCTGGGAGGAGCACAGGGAAGCAGGTATTTCCCAAGTAGCCACCTGGTGCCGCATCTGTGACACCTGTCCAGGTACGATCTCCTCCGGGGCCCTCGCTCCTCACTGAAATCTATAAATGAGATACGAGGGGGCTGGGGTGTAGCTCGGTGGTAGAGGATTTGCTTGGCAGGCACAAGGCCCTGGCTTCAAACTCCAGCACCACAACAAATAACTAAAGGAATAAACAAGAAGTGGAGTCAGGCATGGTGGTGCACACGCCTGTCATCCCAGAACTCGGAGAGGCTGAGGCAGGAGGGTCGCAAGTTTGAGTCCAGCCTAGGCAAACTAGTGACTTGGCAAGAACCTATGTTGAAATTAAAAATACTTATAAGAATACAACGCCTGTAACTAAGGTGAATCTCTCTAGGAACACACACATGCCGTGGATTCGATTACCTCCATTTTACACATAGAAAACCCAAGGAGTTGAGAATTTAAGTAACTCAGCCTTTAGGTCGTGAAGTCCCAGAGGGTAAGAAACAGCCCTGTTTTTTGTTTGTTTGTTTGTTTTGATTTTGGTTTTTTTGAGACAGGGTCTCACTATGTAGTTAAGTCTGACCTGGAACTCACTATGTAGCCCAGGCTGGTCTTGAACTCACAGCGATCCTCCTGCCTCAGCCTCCCGAGTGCTGGGATTACAGACGTACACCACCACACCCAGCAAAACAGCCCTGTTTTACTCATCAGTGAGTTCTGGGGACTACTCGGTGCCTGGCATAGAACCAGGCACTGGATAAATGCTTTGGCATTGGCTGGATCGGTGGATGAACAGAAGGATGGATGGGAGGATGGAGGGAGAGAAAGAAGATGGGAGGGGGGAAGGGGAGGGAGAAAGGAGAAACGGGCCTCTGGCAGCCCAGGACAGACGTCCTCCGATGCGATGCGCTTCCCCGTGTCACAGGCCGCCATGCACGTGAGGAAATACCTGCTGAAGGGGCTGCACCGGCTGCAGAAGGGCCCGGGCTACACCTACAAGGAGCTGCTGGTCTGGTACTGCAACAACACCAACACGCACGGCCCCAAGCGCATCATCTGCGAGGGGCCCAAGAAGAAGGCCGTGTGGTTCCTGATCACCCTGCTCTTCGCCTCGCTCGTGTGCTGGCAGTGGGGCGTCTTCATCAACACCTACCTGAGCTGGGACGTCAGCGTCTCGCTCTCCCTGGGCTTCAAGACCATGGACTTCCCCGCCGTCACCGTCTGCAACGCCAGCCCCTTCCGGTAGGTGGTGCCTGGAGCTCCCCTCCGCGCTGTCCTCCAGCCCTGCCTGTCCTGGCCCCACTTCCTTGGCCTTTCCCTCTCGCTTCCTCTGTCCCCTTGTCCTTCCCCTGCCCTCCCTCCCTTCTTCCTTCCTTGAGTTCCTCCTCTTGCAGCACGTAAGGTTCAAAATTCATAAGCTTTTAGATTTAAAGAGAATCTCAAAAGATACCTGAAAACTCCGTCTTCAGGAGTGCCAGTGTCTGTCTATAAATTCTGTCCGTGTTAACTGAGCAACTGCTGTGTGCCAGGCACCACAGTAGATGTTGGAAATGCAGTAGTGAACAGCCCTCTCTACGAGGGAAACGGGCATTAATGTTTTCCCCGTGAATACTGAATTAATTATAACTGTGGTGATAAAAAAAACACTTCACATCAGGCATTGCGCAGAATGTCCTGCCAGAATTGACATACAGGTAATTCTAATCCATGCAGCCAACCTTCAAGCGGTTCAATTATAAGTAAGGAAATGAAGGTTCAGAGAGGTAAGTAAACTTGCCCAGAGACACACAGTGGGCAAGTGGATTTGACTCCAAAGCTGCCACTTTTTAGCCATTCGGCCACACTGGCCTTCCCCCAACCTGACCGCTGGGCTTCTAAATGAGACAAATAAGGAGACCCAACCTGACCAGGGCTGAGGAGAGGCCGATGGTCAGTAAGAGAAAAACTCCTGGAGAAATGAGTAGAAGTTGGCTGGGAGGAATGCCCCCAAGTGGTGGACACAGCATATGCAAAGGCCCGGGGGTGAGAATTTCATACTTTCAAGGAATTGAAAGCAGAGCCAGAAAACCTCAGCAACCCTTAAAGCCTGGATCTGGAGTGAGAAAAGATAAATTCCTCTTGTTCAGGAATATGCAGAGGCAAACACTGACTTAGAGATATTTAGGAGTAATGCTACTGACCATAGCTAAACAAAAGGTGGAAGCCTTAAATTAAAGACAGTAACATAATTTCTTTGGAGGTGGGCCGGAGATTTAGCTCAGTGGCACCGCGCCTGCCTCGCAAGTGCAAGGTCCTGAGTTAGATCCCCGGTACAAAAGAAAAAAAAAGTGTAAAGGTGTAATGGAGTTGAAGAAAATGAGAGCGCTGCATCACATGCGGACGCCTTACAGCACCATAGCCAAGGGGATGGGACCGCCAAAACCCTTTCGGACCAATCAGAGTTCATTGCCGGAGCTGGGGAGGAGCGCCCCCCAGCGGTGCCACCAAGAGGACGGAACAGCTGCGGCTGCTCCTTAGCCCGCAAATGAGCTCTGGTTGCTGCGTGTGACTCTGCTCTAAACTGAATTATCCTGCGCAGACCAAGGACTTCACGGAAGCAGAAGTCTGAAATATCAGAGGGACCCCTCGCTTCTCACAGTTTTTCCGTCTGATTTTTGTTTTAGTCATGATAAGATTCTGGGGATTTTTCATTATTGAATTAGCAAATATCTGGGAGAACGTACCCGTATACTCAAAACAGAGTTGTAAATACAAATTTTTTAAAGAAGAAAGCAGAGCCAGCATGGCTGAAGCTACCAAGGACGGTCTGTCCTACAGGACGTTCTGAAAGGAAATTCAGTCGTTGAGGTTACAGGTCATTCTCAGTGGTCCCTTCTTCCTAATAGGGCTCCGGCTGCTTGGGGGACTCCTTGAAGCCACTCGAGAACTCTTAATAATCATAGCAACGCTCGATAAGCATCAACTCATCCAGTCCTCCAATGACTCCCTGAGATATGCCCTTCTATCCCCTCATTGTCCAGATGAGAGAACAGAACGTCAGACAGGGTGAGGAGCCCACACTCACACAGATACGAAGTGGTAATGCAGGATTCGAACCCAGGCCCCCACGGTGGCCCAGGGAGTTAAACAGCAGCTGTGGACCTGGGATTGTGATAACGCACTGGCCTCACAGCCTACACCCTCCCTCTGCTGCTCCCCCCATGTGCACACAGGTGGCCTGGTTCAGTGTCAGGAGACAGACAGAAGGTGCTGGCTCTGCTTCCTGTGTCCCCTCTGGCTGCTGACCATCTCTGTGTCCCTCTTGCAAGAAACCCTCCAGCCAGAGCCTGCCCCAGAGGCCTTGGGGGCAGAGTCTGAGCTCAACTGCAAGTGGGTGAGGGTGTGGAAGTGCTCTCAGGCACAGATCTGCAACTTCCAGGCACACGCATCACGATGGCCAGGACAGGAGCCCCCTGGGGCTGAGGGAAGATGTTGGAGCCAGTCTCAGCCCTGCTCACCTTCCCCAAAGCCACTGCTGGGAAAATAAAAGCTGGATATTAGAAAGGAGGGAGATCTTTTTCAAATGGGAAAGAAACAGAGCTGGAGGGAGGAGGTATGTTATGTACGTGTACAAACTCCCCAAGGTAAATGTGATCTTTGTGTCCTATAAACGTGTACTGGAAAAAAAAAAAAAAAGCAAAAAGTAAAACGACTGCTGGGGAACTGGACCTACCCCGCCTTCCCCCAGCAACCAGAGCCCCACCCCCAGACAGCGCTCACACCGGAGCCCCCCGAACCCACTTCCGATCTCAGTTCTGCCCCTTACCCGAGGCTTGAGCTCAAGAAATCACGGCAGTCCCCGGAGCCTCCATGTCTGTGGGCCGGATGGCAGAGGGCAGGCGCCTAGGGTCTGGTGCGTGGAAAGTGGTCGATATCCGTAAGCCATTAAGATTGGTTCCCCGCTGGAACAGCAATCATGAGGAGAGAGACCCATCTGTCTTATTTCCAGTCAGTGCATGGCACGCAGTAGGTACTCGTGGAGTCCCTGGTAAATGAAGAGTGAGTGGTGGGCAGGCGCATGGTGCCCGGGGCACAAGGGGAGCCCGGACCCCAGGCACCTGTTGCAGCTCCCACCCACCCAGCTCCTCGCCTCTCCCCGCAGGTATTCCAAGGCCAAGCGCTTGCTGAAGGACCTGGACGCACTGATGAAAGCCGTGCTGGAGAGGATCCTCGCGCCCGAACCCAGCCACGCCAACGCCACCAGCACGCTGAACTTCACCATCTGGAGCCACGCGCCCCTGGTCCTCATTAACGAGCAGGATCCCCGCCACCCAGAGGTCCTGGACCTCTTCAGCCTCTCCGGGAACAACCACAATGGCTCCGCAGGCGGTAGCCCGGCCCCCGGAAGGATCTGCGGTGCTCCCGGGTGCAAGCTGGCCATGAGACTGGTAAGTGACCCCAGGCAATCCAGCAGTGGACCCTGCTGGCAAGACCCGTGGGGAGCTCTCTTCTTCAGTAATCTTGCCAGCAGAAACCGGTGTTCATTTTGTATTTTGTCTTTGCAAAGTTTGTAGAGAAAGAGAAATCACTGGCCTGTTCGTTGAGATTCTTTAGGATGCAAGTGAGCCAGCTCAAACTCACTAACCCAAAATGGGGAATTCTTTGGCTCATAAAACTGAGAAGTCGAGAGATTAGTTGGGTTCAGGTATGACTGGATCCAGATGCTCACATGTTGTTATCAGGACTTTCTTTTTACCTCAGTTCAGCTTTTCTAATAGCTGTTACTCTCAGGTGCGTGCCCCACTTACACCTCACCAGCAATCTCCCCAAGGAGCTCCTCTTTCTCAATAGCAAAGGGCCTGGGGCTGACTCACCAGGTCATATGGTGACGCCTGAGCCAATCACAGTGGGGTAGAGGATGGGCTCCCATGATTGGCCCATCCTGAGTCATGTGCTCTGGGTCTCAGCGCCAGGCCAGTGTGAGAGCAGCAAACGGGTCGTACAGCACGGCGGGGGAGTGTGTGCTGTGCTGAGTCCCTGAGCCCCATCCTCCTGGTCCACACAGCCTCTGGGCGTCACGGGCAGCGGCTGAGAAAGCCAGGGGGTCCAAAGGCTGAGCATGTGTGTGCACAGTGCACACACGTGTGGCCCCAGGGCGTCAGAGAGTGAATCACTGGGTGAATGCAGGGGCAGTGCTCCCAGCTCTTCAGGATGCTGAGGCAGGAGGCTCTGGCCAGCCTGGGTGACACGGCGAGACCCCTTCTCAGTAGAGAAAGTGCCCTGTGCTCAGGGATGGAGGCTCGCGTGGACACGTGTGGACACGTGTGGACACAGGTGAGCAGGCAGCTGCGTGTGCATCTGTGCCCATGGCCTGCCTGTTCACGCGTCCGTCGCGGTCCGTGTGAGTTGGGCTGGTGGCCACGCAGGGAAGTCCCGTGACCAGCGTGCAGTGTGGGTGTTGCCGTGGCCACCTGCCCACCACCCAGGGCCCTCGGGACAGTGGCTGGGCGTGCATGGCCGCCCCGTGCCACGGGACCCCTCGTTGCCTCCGCAGTGCAGCCTGAACGGGACCGTGTGCACCTTCCGGAACTTCACCAGTGCCACCCGGGCCGTGACCGAGTGGTACGGCCTGCAGGCCACCAACATCTTCGCGCAGGTTCCGCGCCAGGAGCTGGTGCAGATGGGCTTCCCCGGGGAGCACATGATCCTGGCCTGCATGTTCGGGACAGAGCCCTGCAGCTACCGGTGAGGGCCCTGGGCCCCCAAGCCCGCCTGCCCGCCTCGCCCCGCCCCGGGGCTGTGCCAGGCGGACTCGCGGGGGTGCGGGAAAGGCAGAGCAAAGGCGAAGCACGGACGTGGGCCCAGGGAGCCTCGGCTCGGCCCAACGGGCAGTGTCTGGGTTGCTCTTCTCATTGCTGAGACAAGCCTCTTTCTGTCCCTTTTGTCCGGACTACTTAGGACAGGTAGCACTCGCACTCTTCACATGAATCAATGCCAGTGTCACACATTTGAGATCTGTCCCCACCTCTGAAAATACCCCGCCTGTGACAGCATCCGGCTTTGGCGGCACCCAGACACGCCATAACAGGCAGGGTGATTCACTGCACACACCATGCACAGAGTTGTCCTCCCTTGAAAGAGGGTTCCTATCGGCCAGGCCCTAACTCCCCACTCAAGAGAGCTGGAGAAGGGGCAGCTGTGAGCCTTTAGCCACAAAGACCCAGCCGCTGGGGGCTGAGCAGAGCTTTATAGGACGTCTGGGGCACCCCAGCTTCAGCCACTCTCAGTCTTCTCCAAAACAGAGACTCAACTCTGGGAGGCTGAGGCAGGAGGATCACAACTTGAAGTCCAGCCTGGGCAACTTAATGACTTAGTGAGACCCTGTCTCAAATAAAAAATGAAAAAAGGTCTGGGGGTGTATCTCATTGTGAAGGAAAAGAAAAGAAAGGAGGGAGGAAAGTAGGTCTCCGTCATCACCTGCCACCCCACCTTTTCTGACTGAAGGCCAGCCCCAGCCACCAGACACAGAAACCCCAGCCAACCTGTCTTTGCCCTCTCCCTGTGTCCTGGGTCACCTTCAGACAGCACAGGACCGTGTGTCTCTGCTTCTCCCACCCTGGGCTCCAGATGCTCAAGAAGGGGAAGCCTCAGCAGAAGGAAAGCACAGTCCACCTTTGGAGCCTAAGTGCCTGGATTTGAATGCCAGCACTGTGTTGTCGGCCACCAGCCCAGCCCCTCTCCACCTGTTTCCCATCTGAAAAACTGGGCCAGTGAAACCTCATAGCACTGTCTTGGAATTAATGAATTAACCTATGTAAAGTATTTAGAATAGCACCAGGTATGTGAGAAGTGTTGAGAACCTTTTCCCCCCAGTGGTACTAGGTATTGAATCCACTGAGGTTCACCTCCAATCCTTTCTAACATTTTTTAAATTTTGAGACAGGGTCTAATTTGCCTAGGCTGGTCTCCGCCTTAAGATCCTCCTGCCTCAGCCTCCCAAATAGCTGAGATTACAGGTGTACACCAGCACGCCCTGCTGGAAGAACATTTTTAAAAACAGCTGATTACTGCGGACTCCTTTCAGATTTAGAGAAGCTGCAAAGACAATGCAGAGTTCCCTTAGGCCTCTTGCCAGGCTCCTCTGTCATTAGCATCGAACTCTCCTGACTGTGGAGGAAATGAGCCCTTTCACTGGGATGTGCTCAGTCTTCCCCAGTGACCTCCCCTGTGGCCTTCGTGATGGGGACAGAATCTCAGGCACCCTTGTTTTCAGGGACCCTGACGGCTTTGAAGCCAGGGCCAGTAGAAAGCCCTCAGTCCGGGCGAGTTGGTTTCCCTTAGGGAGGCTCTGGGGTGCGGGGAGGAGAGCCCGGAGGGGTGAGGGCATCTTCGTGATGTCATTGCGTCAGGGGCACGACGACCTGCGGTGTCCCAGCTTTGTGACATCCCGTATGTCGCCAGACTCTGCCACTGAGGGAGCTTCTGCCCTCTCCAGCCTTGAGGCTGGGGGCAGGGGTGCGTATCATGCTGCAACGCACTCCCCGAGAGAGGAACGCACGTTTCTGTCAGGAACATTTGCTTCCTCCCCTTTTTACACCTGTATGACTTCCTGCATAGTGGGGGTGTAATTCAGTACCTCATCATTTATTTTCCAAATCCTTCTGGCACTGGCCCCTGGAGGGTCTTCCAGGGGGCTCCTGTGTCTGACATGTCCCTATCATCATTGTTATTATTATTACTACTATTGCTATGAGCACGTTCTGGCCTTGCCTGCTGCATGAGCCTGGAATCAGCCATTTGTCCGAGGAGCCCTGGTTCCTTTAGGAGAATGGAATTTAGAAAGCAAGATCGACATTTATAAGCTTTATTATCATTGTTGTGCTTGCTCCGGAGATCCGCCAGCCCCCTGGGAGGGCTTCCCTGACTTCTGGACCACGCTGCCCTGCTGCTGCTACACTTCTTCCTCCTGGGTTACTCCGTTTTCCAGTATGTCGTTTTCAGAGCGGGTAGAATCTCTCACTATGTTGCTTAGCCGGGTCCCGAATGATCCTTCTGCCTCGGCCTCTTCAGGCCGAGCTGGGACTGCAGCTGTGCACCTGGCCCCTGCTGTCTCCTGGGGCTCGCTGGCCTGTGCCCCAGGACCCTGGGACCCTGTCCCAGGAGAGGGATCCTGGCTGTGGAACCAGAGGCGGCCCGAGCTAGGTGGGAGGCAGACAGCTGGCCCGGTGCGGAGGCTCCAGGCAGGAGGGGCCTGGCCGCACCCTCACGGGCTCCTGCTCCAGCCGCTTCTGAGACAGTTCTTAGGGACGCTGTGTCCCACAGCTGGGGCGAGGCCCCTGCCTTCAGAGTGCTGCCTGGCTTCAGCTGGTTTGCCCTGCTGTGTTCTTGCCCTGTGGCCACAGCCCTCGCCCTGCGCCATGAACTCTGGGCTGCTGCCCACAGCTCTCCCTCCCGCCCTTTGCCCAGGCTGTGCCCCCTTGAGGTGCCCTCTCCTCCCACCCTCCAGGCTTGGCTGCCTCTCATTCACCTTTTAAGTCCTGCTCGGGCCTCCTCCTCTCCCAGGAAACTTTCCCTGCCCCCTTCCTTCCCCCACAGGATTTAGGTGTCACCCTCCTTGCTTATCTCTGCGATGTCTTTATCATGGGTTATAGTTTACTCAACAAATATTTACTGAGTGTCTGTGTGCAACAGAGAGGTGAGCAGTCACGGCCAGGAGTTTTTACTGTTACAGAATGCTAGGCATCCAACCCCGCTGTGGTCTCGAAGCCCCTGGGGGAAAGTGAGGCACAGATGAGACAAGCGAGGTCCCCAGCTTGCCGGCTAGTGAGTGACAGCAGAGTTAAAATCACGGCAAGCCTGCTCCTGGGCGTGTGCTTCAAACCTCTGTGCTGCCCTCCTATGGCTAGTGAGTGACAGAGTTAAAATCACGGCAAGCCTGCTCCTGGGCGTGTGCTTCAAACCTCTGTGCTGCCCTCCTCCCGTGTGCCCGCACATGGCCCGAGGGCCAGCAGATAAACAAGCGAGGACTAAATCAAGAGGAGCTCACCTTCTGATGCATGCAGTAAAGGGGATAGAGTTAGGAGTGACTGCATCGGGAAACCTCCGACCGACCGGTGGTCATGAAGTTCTCTTAACAGAGTGGGCATCCGCCCCTCTGCATGGGCAGCAACTGGGCTGCTAGAGACTGTGAGGCACAGGGATCAGCGGGTGCAGAGGGCCGGGACATTCTGTCCCACGAGGGGCACTGGGAGAGACCTGCGCTGGGCATGCCCCGTGTCCCCTGCGGAGGTCAGCGCTGCCTGACTGCAGGGCCCAGGATGCATGAGAGAGGAGGGAGGGGGCAGAGGCCACCACGGGAAGTGGGAGATGCAGGGGGCAGCTAGAGCCACAGCCGGAGGCACAGACCGAGCAGGTGCTGCCCCTGTCCTGAGCACAGTGTGAGCCCCAGGGGGCAGCCGTCTCCGTCTCCCTCTCCCACCGCCCTAGTGCAGCGCTCACCTCCATAAAGGAAGCGGGGTTTCTCCCCCTGTCCCCTTGCCGCACTGAGGAGCCAAAGTCCAGAGGTTGAGAGAGCAGCTGGAATCCCTCGGACAGTGGCTGTGGCTGGCTGCCAGATTGGATCTCTCAGCCTGCACCAACCCTCATTCCACGACTCAAGGCCGAGACAGATGGTTCAGGCAGCGGGCCGCCTTATCCGACCATCGGGGAAAATGATGCCTGACCTCTCTGGGTTGTTGAGGGCGAAGTAGGTCATATATGCAGAAATTTCCAGCCTGGGCCCGGCCCATAAAAGCTGCCTGATAAATGTCAGTGGCAGAATATATAAAGTTCAGTAGACGGTTCTGCACGTAAGATTTGTGTGTGTGTGTGTGTGTGTGGCTTATGATGTACTCGTTCCTGTTAAAGAGACCAATGCAGAAACACAGACAAATATTTCAAAGCTATTTATTTATGGAGATGGGGACATAGGCAGGGACAGAACAGACCTGGGTGAACCCCTATGACCCTTCTCTAACCCAACATCTGGGAACCACTCCAAACCCCAGGGCCTCAGTACAAAGGTCAGCGTCTACCTGCAAAAGACACTTTTTTTGTGTGTGTATGTTAAGGATCCCACCCAGGGCCTTGTACTTTGCAAGTGCTTTGCCACCAACCCCTCTCTCCCCCCCCTTTTTTTTAACATAACCACAAAAACATTCACAGTAATTCCTCAGTGACATCAACTACCCAATCATATCCGTGCTTATAAATGTCATGTTTGAGTCCAGATTCAGTGAAAGTCTACACATTATAATTTTCACCAGTTAATCATTTTTACTGAGTTGACACACGATGTGCATGTCTGTGGAGTCCGGGGTGACAGTTCCATCCGTGTCCACTACGTGTAAGATTGTGACAGGGTGATTAACGTTTTCCTCTCCTTCAACATTCCTATCTCTAGTTGGGAAGATTCGGACTCCTCCCGTCTAGTTTTTTAGTAGAACGTGTGAACTGTAGTTGCTCTTTTGTGAAGTCTAGAACGTGCCCCTCCTGTGTGACTGTATTTTGGTACCTGTCACCCAGCCTCTTTCTGTGCCTCCCTCTCCCTTCCCAGCCTCTAGTAACCATTATTCTACTCCCCACTTCTATGAGATGGACCTTTTTAGCTTCACAAACGAGTGAGAATGTTTGGTGTTCGTCTGTCTCAGTCACTGTGATTTTAACTCGTCTTCTAATTTTCTATTAATCTATAAGTTATCTCCTGTGTCCTCCTTTGTAATTTGTTTGTTGAAGAAATGTGATTCTTTATCCTATGAAGTTCCGCCGCAGTCTAGATTTTTCTGACTTGCTGTGATATCTTTTAACAGCAAGAAGGTGTTCTGTGTCCAGTATTTCCTAACAGTGGAGAGCTTAATCCTATCCTGTCTAACTTTTTGTACTAGGCCCCTTCTTCAATAATTGGCTTGTATCATTCCTCTTCAGTCATTACCTGGCTCAAACTAGAATTTTTTTTTTTTTTTTTTTTTTTTTTTTTTTTGGTACTGGGAATTGAACTCAGGTCCTTGTGTTTGCGGGGCAGGCGACAGAACCACTGAGCTAAGTCCCTGACCCTCAAACTAGAATTCTTTATTTTACTTTACTTATTTATTTTATTTTATTTTTTTGGTAGAGTTTCAGTAAGTCCCTCGCTTGCTCAGGCTGGGCTGGAATTTGTGATCTTCCTCGTGCCTCAACACCCTAGAGAACTAGAATTTCAGGCAGGTGGCACTGCACTGGGCTCTGGAACTCTTGATAATAACTCTTGCATGAAAACAGTCAGATGGAGGAAGCTGTAGGTTAAAAGAAACTTTAAAGGCTTATTAACCAACTATATGTAAAAATTATTTGGGTCTCAGTTTAAACCATTAAATTATACTTCTGTTTTGTTTTGTTTTGTTTTTGTTTTTTTTTTTTGAGACAGGGTCTCACTATGTAGTTGAGACTGACCTGCCTGGAACTCACTGTGTAGTCCAGGCTGGTCTCGAACTCACAGCGATCCTCCTGCCTCAGCCTCCTGAGTGCTGGGATTACAGGCATGTGCCACCACGCCCCACTAAACCATTAAATTATAAAAACAATATCGATACACATAAAACAACTAGAAATTCTGAGTGTTTAATAGTATCGAGAAATTGTATTATTTTAAACATGGTAATAGTGTTATTTTTAAGACTTCTTACTTTCAGAAATACTCATGGAAATGACTATCAAAGCAAACTTTTTCTTAAGTTAGGTGTGGTGGCACACACCTGTAATTCCAGCCCTCTGGGAGGCTGAGGCAGGGGGATCACAAGTCTGACCCAGGCTGGGCAACTCAGCGAGTTGGCAAGACCCTGTCTCAGAATAAAAAAATTTTAAATGGGTCAGGGGATGTAGCTCAGTGTGAAAGCTCTGGGTTCATTTCCCAGAACCAACACACACACACACACACACACACACACACACAGACACACACAGACACACACAAAACAGATTTGCTTCAAAAACTCTATGAGAGGGCCAGGGCTTTAGCTCAGTGGCACCACACTTGCCTCAAAAGTGCAAGGTCCTGAGTTCAATCCCCAGTACCCAAAACAAAAAAACTCCATGAGAGGGAGGGTGGGTAGAGAGTGAAAATAGGACTGGGCAGCCACTCGGGGCAAGAGCTGAGATGATGCCTTTGGAACCGGCAGGGGCTTCCTTCTCTGCTTTTTGTGCTGCACATGTTTCATGGGGGAGCATCTTGCTTTGTTTTTAATTTTTTGGTGCTGTGGAATGAATCTAAGGCCATGAGCATGCTAAGCACTTGCTTTACTACTGAGCTACACACAAAGATTTTTTTATTTGTTTCTTGTACTGAATTATTTGAAACTGTGTTCTGTTGTTACAGTTTCACTGAGATTCTTTTGGAAGCATTTGTTTTGGGATTATTTTCTTAGGGAACATTTCCTAACAAAAGAACTTGGACTCTTCGGCTTCCCTCTTGCCTGGCTCACCTGCACTTCTCTGACCCTGTCTGTCTCTGTCCCCTCGTCTCTAGCCCCTCCCTCCGTCTCTAGCCCCGCCCCACTGACTCTGTCCACTTCGCCTCTTTCTTTGGTTGCCCTGCCCCACTCTGGGTCCCAACTGCTCCTGATCAGTCACTACGGTGCTGTCCTTTTAAACTTGTGTTAGGTCTGTATTGGGTTCCTGGGGTTGCCACAGTATTCACCATATACCTAGTGGTTTAGAATTGCATTTATTCTCCACTGGAGAATTCTCAGATCCACAGAAATCCATTTGGCAGGATGGGCTCTCAGGAAACCCTGGGGAGAATTCTCCACTGCTCCTTCAGCAACTCGTGGCTGGGTGTTTCTTGTGCCTGCTGAGTTCTGCCACCATGTTTACATGACTTCTCCCTTGTTGTGGATTCTCGTCTTCTGCCTGCATAAGGACCCTGGTCATTGGATTAGGACCCACTGGGATAATCTACGATGGTCCCATTTAAAAATCCTTGGTTATATCTGCAGGTACTCTTTTTCCAAATAAGGTCACATTGACAGAACCCCAGGGTTAGGACGTGGACACAGCTTTGCGTGGATGCCTATGAGACAGATGCAGATGTCTAGAATGGTCTTCATACCTCAGGGCTCAACCCAGCCAGTCTGGGTTTGTCGTCTTCTGCTGGGTGTGCCATGCTCTTAGGCCCAGGGTCTCTTTCAGGAACTTTACACACATCTTCTACCCTGATTACGGCAACTGCTACATCTTTAACTGGGGCATGAAGGAGAAGCCACTCCCTTCAGCTAACCCTGGGGCAGAATTCGGTGAGTGCTGGTTCATCCTAGACTGAGACCACCCAAGGCCGCAGTGGGGGCCTGGGAGGCCTCTACTGTCTGAGCTCAAGATGTACTTCTCAAAGCCTCAGTTTCCCCTTTGGAGACCAGTGTGTGATGGGGAGAAGGGCTCCATGCATGCTGCATTTTCCAGCCATCACTACTGGCGCTGGCTCCTGGCCTCTCTGCTGTACCATTTTCTTTTTGCTCTGTCTTGTTTTTGGCAGTACCAGGGGTTTGAGTCAGGATTCACACTGAGTTAGGGCCCCAGCCCTTTATTTGTATGTTTTTATATTATGACAAGGTCTTGCCGAGTCCCTGAGCTCCCCGGCTCGGTTCGAACCTACCAATTTCTTGCCTTGGCCTCACAGCACAAGGGTCACAGATGTGTGCCGCCGAGCCCAGCCTGTGTAGTTGGCACTGGGAGAATCGCAGATGGACAGAGCAGCAAGGAAGGGAGGCGTGGCCGGTGGCAGGAACACTCCTCCTCTACACCACCGCGGAGCCTGTGCCTTTGCCAAAGGCAGGCGAGCGCATGCTGGCCAAGCGTCCAGGCTGTGGGCCGGACACTGATGAGCCTTTCTCCCTTGCTCAGGCTGCAACCTCCTGGGCCACCAAGAGGCGGGGTATCAGTCAGTGACCCTCTGGCCTGAATATTCCAATAGGGGGACAGCGGTCCTCACCCTACCCCTAGCTCTTGTTCCTGAAAACTGTCCCAGTGCTCCAGAACACTCCTCCTGCCTCAGTTTCCTCATCTGCAAAATGGGGGCAATAATAGTGCCTCTCTCAGGTGATTCTGTGAGCATGCAGGGAGACCGTGTGTGCAAGAGCCCATCACATGGCCCTCAGCATGCAGCAAGCCTGATTGTCCTGACAGGGACTCAGCTCTAGTGCACGTCGAGCTCAGGACTATGTACGGCACATAGAATATTTGGTCTGACCCCTCAAGATGGGGACAGTTGCGTAGGAAAGACAGAGAGCAAGAGGAGAATCGCAAGAGTGAGGCAGGTGCTGGGAAGTGAAGTCCCTAGAGCAAGGAGAGGGTCTGACGGGACCCCAGGACCAGGATCACACAGGCAGTCAGGAGGCTTCTGCAGGAAGTGACCGGAGGTGGTGGCGGTGGCAGGTGCAGTCTCTGAGGAGAGGAGGGCGGGACGCATTGCAGAGACCCAGCAGGAAGGGACGCGGGGCTCCCGGGGTGGGGTAGGGAAGCTGGGGGCCTGAAGAAGGTGGCGGCTGAGGTGGACCTGCCTGCTTTGCAGCAAAGAGATGATGTGGGGGGAGGGAAAGGAGCTCAGGGAAGATCGGATGGGGGCTTTGCAAAGGCTAAAGTTTGCAGACTGGGTGTAGCCTCCTTGGCCACCCAGACGCCCCTCAGCTCGTCCAGTGGGTGGTGGGTGCCCTCACCCCACCCTGCCTGCAGGTCTGAAGCTGATCCTGGACATCGACCAGGAGGACTACGTCCCCTTCCTCACGTCCACTGCGGGGGCCCGGCTGGTGCTCCACGAGCAGAGGACCTACCCCTTCATCAAAGAGGAAGGCATCTACGCCACGTCGGGAACCGAGACCTCCATCGGGGTGCTGGTGGTACGGCCGGGCCTAGGCCTCGGGCGGAAGCCCATCTGCCGCAGGGCAACCTCCCTCGGCCTAGAGTGAAGGGTCCCACCCCATTTCCCGGCCCTTCTGCCTGGATGCAAACCAAGCTGGTGGCCTCACTGTGGGGCAAGCTGAGCCCTCAGGCACCTGTGGGCCCACAGTCCCCTCCCCTTACATCACCCCCTGTTCCCAGGGCCTGATGGGATCGAGGACGGAGGGCTTCCCTGGCGCCCAGGGGTCCCCATGTGTAACCTCTCCCCACAGGACAAGCTGCGGCGCATGGGCGAACCCTACAGCCCATGCACCATGAATGGCTCTGATGTAGCCGTCAGAAACCTGTACAGCGACTACAACACCACGTACTCTATCCAGGTGGGAGGCCAGGGGACCCGAGACCCTGCCACATCTCGGGTCCAGACTGCAGGCTCCGGGAGAGCCGGGTTTTTAACATGTATTAGTACATATCTGCACTCCGTGATTGCCTCCCTTCTGGGGGAGTGGCACATGTATGGAACACAGCGCACCATAGTCTGTTTGTGGTACAGGGGATTGAACTCAGGACCTTGCGCTTGCCTGGCAGGTGGCGGGGCCACTGAGCTAAACCCATGGCCCCCAGGTCATAGTTTTTTTACTGCTCTTTTTCCCCTTTGCCCTCTCTCCATCTCTGGTTCCCCTTCCCATTTGCAGAGCATGTGCTGGATTTTTCTAGGTGGCCACAGGGCCCCCCAGGTCTGCAGATCCGGTACAGTTCCTAGGTTCTCACCAAGGCCCCCTCTTTTTCCCACCTGGGGACACCAAGGATGACATGAGGTCTCACCCTGGGGTCTCCCAAGAAGAAACCCAGAACAACGGCTGCGGTTACGGAGCACTCAATGTGTGTGAGATTCTGCGCTGAGGGTGTGCACAAATCGCATCACCGTTTGAACCCTTCACTCCCCGCCCCGGTGGAGAAATAATGTGCTCATCAGAGCAGGCGGCTGTGGGCACCTTACATACCTCGCCTCACCTAGTCCCTGAAGCAACCTAGGTTGTAGGTGCTGTTCTCCATGCCGCTTGAGAATGAGGCAGTTGTGACCTGCAGACCCCAGTCTTGAGCCTCATCGATCTCCCGGGAAGCCCCCTCCCGATCTGCCTCAGCCTCTGCTGTTGTCGCTGGAGGCTTCCCTCATGTCCTGATCTCCAGGTCAGCCCAGAGCTGTCTACACTCAAACCCCGCCTCACAGAGAAGGCAGAGTGAGTCATTCCAAAGATGACAGAAATGATCACTTGCTAAAACTTTCCTCCCAGCCCAGGCCACACTGGCAGGTGAGGAAACTGAGGCAAGTCGAAGGCAGTCTGGTGCCTGCACTTGGCACAGTTGCCCTTGTGCCTTGGTCACAGGAAACTGAGCCTCTTGCCAGCTGCCCACCCGCCCAGCTGTCCCAGCACGCACCACCTGGCTGCTCTGGCCCCCTCCTGTCTCAGGGTCATCTTTCTGCCCCCCGAGATCTCTGGGGAGCTGCCATGCCACTGGAGACACAGGGAGGTGGGAAACATGGCGAAGGAGGCCCACCCTGGAGGTTGTATTCCTAGAAAACCAGCTTTGTTTCTCCTGGGGAAGTAGCAATGACCCAGGCCTTGTCAGGAGCTCAGGCCACTGCCCATACCCCCAGGGGCAGCCTGGGCCCCCCAGCCAAAGTCACAGGGCTGGGGATGCCAACACCTGCTTTCCCGGTGAGTGAGAGACACTTGCCCCAGGCAGCGCTCCTGCTGTGGCCCCGGTCCTGACTCCTCACACCATGCATTGCATCGCCCAGCCCGCCCCAATCTCCTGCCTGCGGGCACGCCATGGACCCCTCAGAGGGAAGAGCAAGACAGCCCAAGTTAGCCTGGGAAGGAGCCAGCAGGAGGAGCAGGGAGATGAGGCTTGGGGGGTGTAGGAGGGGTGGAGCAGAGGCCCAGAGGAGCCCACAGTCAGGACTTGGGGCCGAGGGACAGGTGGAGAAGGGCTGCTTCCCAAGCGCCTGCTGCTGCTCTCAGTCACCCACCTCCGCAGGCAGGTGAAGTGCGCACCTTCCCACCACGAGTAAACTGAGGCTTGGACATTAATAAGTTGCCCAGGACACATAGTTGGTCCCTGAGTGGACTGAGACCGGGATGCAGTTACCTGAAAACCCTGTGTTGGGCCCTAGTGAGCGGGATGCCTCACACCCAGTTCCGGCTGTGGTTCCCTTTGTCCTCCCTCCCCCGAACAGGGCGTGTGCCATAGATCAGCAGGCTGGTCACTCCCACCATCATCCCCGAGCAGTCAAAGGAGGTCACTTTCTCCTGTCCCTGGGCGTCCCTCCAGAAGGACAGAGCTCAGGCCACCTTCCTGGGTCCTTGGATGCAGAGAGCTCAGGAGGGTGCTGGCCCCTCTGGCATTAGATTTACTGTCTGGGAAAAGCCATCCCTGGCCACGCCATCCGGGGGGCCCCACTCTAGATGGGGGACCTGGGCTGCTGGGGTCTGCCCCGAGTCCCTCTGCAGGGTCCGGGGCCTGGCACGGAAACATCACTGCCCGCCTCTGTTCTCTCCGCCACCCCAGGCCTGTCTTCACTCCTGCTTCCAAGACCATATGATCCGTAGCTGCGGCTGTGGCCACTACTTGTACCCACTGCCCCCCGGGGAGAGATACTGCAACAACCAGGACTTCCCCGACTGGGGTGAGTGGGGTCCCTGCCCTTCCACACGGGGCTGAGGGGAGCTCGGTGCCCTGTGCCACCTGCAGTCCTTCCTGTGACCCCTCGCAAGCTTGTCTCCTCTCTCAACTCCATGCAGCGCGGTTTGAGGATGTGGGTGTGGGCGTAAATCGGGCCTCATGGGCACGTGTCTGTGCACCACATGAACACGTGTGCCTTGGGATGTGGTTGCTGGTGAGTGCACGTGCATGTGTACACCCCTGGCTTCTAATGCACGTGTGAAAGGCACGTCTGTGTTTGCACCTGAGTGCCTAGGAGTGCTCTGTGGCGGCATGGGTCTGCGTGTGCTTGTGCGCACATGTATGTCCATGTGAATGCACATGCAAGGCCACACCCCTGAGCTCAGAACCTGTGTGCGGGTCTGCACAGGCTCGTGGAATCTCTCTGCAGGGTGCTGGGCCTGGAGGGCAGATGGGGGGTCATCGTGATTCCCCACAGTCACGGTGGCAGACTCTGCACACTTGGAATCACAAGAAGACAAGGCCCCTGGCGTCACACTGAGCTGGAGCCCAGGCCTGGAGCCCGGGGGGCTGTCCTCAGCGAGAGGCCCTTCTGCCTCTTCAGGCCTGCGCGACCCACAGGGAATAGGGAGGGACTTTCCCTTTCAGCCCCCATCCCCTCGTCCCTGCTGGGCAGGGCAGGGAGGGTGTGCGGAGAGACAGCTGCTCTGACCCAGAGCGGGTCCATGTCCAGGCTGCAATGGGGCGAAATGGCTGGGGTCGGGTGGGCTGGAGAGCAGTGATTGCCCACGACTAGAGAGCTCGGGGGACTCTCTTGTCCCATCCCGGGCCAGGGAGCCAGGCAGAGGCGCAGAGCCTGGAATGGCCCCAGCCCCTGAGCGTGTCCTCCCCTCTGCCCAGCCTACTGCTACTTCGACCTGCGCATGAGTGTGGCCCAGAGAGAGACGTGTATCAACATGTGCAAGCAGTCCTGCAAGTGAGTGCGGCGCTGGGGGTGGGCACGGGGGCACAGTGGTGGCCGGACAGCGACAGGGCCGCCTTCTCTCCCACAGTGACACCCAGTACAAGATGACCATCTCCATGGCCGACTGGCCTTCTGAGGCCTCGGAGGTGAGTGCAGGGCCCACGCTGCTGGCCCTTCTGAGCCGAGGGCAGCGCTGGGCCCGGGAGAGGCCACCCCTCCCTCCCGCTCTCCCTTCCTGTTCTGCCCCTAATACCCCACCAGGCCCCGTGTCAGGGACGCAGCAGTGCAGGAGACAGACATGGCACCGCAGACAGACAGTAGATGAGGTGTGATGGAAAAATACCGTCAGTGTTTAAAATTTTAAAAACTTTATTACAATAAAAGGTACACTGCCACTCACCACCCTCAGAATCTTCCCCACTCCACATTTATCCCGTCATTTGTTTGTTCGTTTGACCACCCCTTGTACACATGTAGGAATAAGATAATTTCAAAGTGTGGCCGTGGTTATGAAGGAAGTAGACAGGACGATGGCAGAGAGTAACAGGGAAGCCACTCGGGGGGTCAGGGAAATCCTTTTAAAAAGGCAACAAGTAAGTTGAGACCCAGAGGCTGGGCCTGCTGTGGGCAGAGCCAGGGAGGATTGTGGGCAGAGGGAACACAAGTGCGTGGGCCTGAGAGGAAGCCAGCTGGTGACAAGACAACTGGGCCTCAGGGAAAGAGGCTGGAGGCCCGAGTTCTCCTCCCACTAACACAGCTCCCACCGTGACGCTCCCCTTGCACCCTGTCCCAGCCTGCCGTCCTCCAGGGCTCTGGGAGGTGCTGCACTGTGCTCTGCTTCCCCATGGGTGGCAGGGGCCATGCCTGGGAGGGAAGGTGTAGGCACCATTTTCTTCAGCCACTTTCTTGGGTTCTAGGACTGGATTTTCCATGTCCTGTCTCAAGAGCGAGACCACAGCAGCAATATCACCTTGAGCAGGTGAGCCTGGAGGGTGGGAAGGGCTGGGCAAGCAGAAAGGGGAGGAGCCAGAAGCCCTGGGAGCCAGAGGGAGCAAAGGCAGCCAATGGGATTCAGGGTCCAGAAGGAGGCGATGCCCTTCCATCTGTCACCCACCCATCCACCCACACTGCCACCACCCATCCACCCAACACTCACATACAGTAAGCACACACATACAGGAAACAAGGTCCACACCGCCAGAAGTCTGGAGAGGGGTAGATGTAAAAAGGGATGTAGGAATAAGGGTCTGCACAGGCCTCCTCTCCTTGTGGAGAGGGGGGCCTTAGTGTGCCTGACAGAAAGGGAGGTCTGTGTAGGGACTTGGAGAAGCAAATAAATAAGAAGAGACAAAGACGTCCAGGCAGAAGACATAGCTTGGGCAAAATCCTAGAAATGTGAGACATCAAAGCTTTGCTGAGGACCCCCAGGTGTGAAGGGACCCCCACTTATTCACCCTGTTCTGCCCCAGGTACCAGGATGTCTATACCGGATTTTAGCATGTTGCAGAGTCACTGCATAGGACTGGGCCACCCGAGGCCTGGGGAGAGGAATTCAGATTTGTTTCCAGTACTGGGGATGGAACCGGCATGTTGAGCATGCTGGGCAAGTCCCCTACCACTGAGCTTCGCCCCAGCTCAGAGCTGATCTCTGGGGCCCTCGGGCCAGAGCCTTCTTAGGCAAAAGGTAGAAATGGGGTGGAAAAGGGGTCTACAGGATGGGCGCTGGGCACTTCAGTGGCGGGAAGGAGACACACACACCACTCCTAGGATGGCAGCGCAGACGGGAGAGCAGAAGGATGGACAGTCGAGGCACAGTGGATGGGTGGGGACTGCTGGAGGGACAGCTAGACGTGCTCCTCCTGCAGGACCCCGAGTCCCCCTGGCTGCCTTTGCTCCCTGGTGCTCCCCGGGTGTCCCTCGCTAAGCTTTCTCCTGGATCTGACCAGGAGGGAGGAGGAGGGCAGGGCTGTGTGTGCCCCGAGGAGACGGCGCTACAGCCTCAGTCCTCCTTGCTGCCTCCTGCAGGAAGGGGATTGTCAAGCTCAATATCTACTTTCAAGAATTCAACTACCGCACCATTGAGGAATCAGCAGCCAATAATGTGAGTCTGGGAGGCCCAGACTCAGACTTTAGGGAGGTCCCTAAGGCATTGCCAGTCTCCCTTCCCACCCTCAGCCCACTGCATCGCGACCCCCCAGGGCTGGGCTAGGGGCAGGAATCTGCCACCCCTACCCCAGCCAGGCCCTCAGCCCTGCTTCTCCACAGATTGTCTGGCTGCTCTCAAATCTGGGCGGCCAGTTTGGTTTCTGGATGGGGGGCTCAGTGCTGTGCCTCATCGAATTTGGGGAGATCATCATTGACTTCGTGTGGATCACCATCATCAAGTTGGTGGCCTTCTCCAAGGGCCTGCGGCAGAAGAGAGCCCGGGCTCCCTACCCTGGCCCGCCCCCGACCGTGGCTGAGCTGGTGGAGGCCCACACCAACCTTGGCTTCCAGCCTGACAGTACCGCCCACAGCCCCCGGGCCAAGAGCTACCCTGCCGAGGAGGCCCCGCCCATCCCCGGCACCCCACCACCCAACTACGACTCCCTGCGTCTGCAGCCGCTGGACACCGCGGAGTCAGACAGCGAAGGCGATGCTGTCTAGACCCCCTCCTCGCTTACCCCAGGCAGCAGGAACTTGAAGCCAAGTCCACACCACAGCAGAGGCCTCTTCCTACAGCGCCCTTTCCAAAGAGCTGGGGCCCAGGTGTCCGAGGTCAATGCCCATTCCCTCCACTGAGTGGCAGCGGAACCTGGCCGTCCCAGGGCTGGTGTCTCTGCGAGTCACAGTGCCGGCACAGATGTGGGAACCGGGTGCTCACCTGGCCCCTGCCCACCACCTGTCCTGCCTTGCGGCCTGCGATACCCTCAGGCTCCAGAGCCCCTGAGGCACCGGCCAGGGTCAGGGTCAGGAGCAGGCAGGCCCTTTGCTGTGGCCCCTGCTTGGCCTGGCCGGGCTGTGGGGGAAACGGTAGTGAGGGCACTGCGGTAAAGAACAGAGGAGGCATCGGGTGAGAGGCTTACCAGGGACACACACTTTGTCTGGAAAATAAAAGCAGAAAACGCTGAGTGGAGCTTTGTTCCTACTTGGACGGTGGACACTTAACTGGGGCTGGAAAGATATTCACACTGGCCTGAGGGCAGAGGTCTCTCAGGCAGGCTGAGGGACAAATCTCTCAAGATCTTTACAGAACCTTTCAAGCTGCTTCTGCAGCAGGGGCTGCCACTCAACCTGCGTCTTTGGGTAGCAAGGACAGAGGGGGCTCAAGTGGCTTAAGCAAAATAATCTCAAGGAGCTCAAATAACTGGCCTCCCTCTGATACTGCCAACACTCATTGGCCCCCAACTGGGTCACATGCCTTTCTGTGACACAATCAGCAGGGCCAGCTGGAGAGGCTGCCCAGGTTGGTCAGACCTCAACCCATCTGCCCAGACCTGGAGCTACTTTGGCCCCAGCAGACTCACAGGACTGAGGTAGGCAGGGGCATGTATGGCTCTTGGGGTTGTCAGATCAAATTCAAGCTGGTCAGTTAATCTTGAATTTCAGATAGATAGAAATCATTGTACAGATATAATCCATGCAACATTTGAGATACACTAATAATAAGCCTGTTGTTTTTTCTGAAATTTAAATTTAACTGAGTGTCCTGGATTTTTCATTGTCAAACATGGTAAAACACTGGCTCCTCAGCAAGAAATCGGGGAGCTGCTCCCCAACAATGAGATCTAGCAGTGCAGAGCTGAGCTGCGCAGCACCCTGCTGCCCACTAGCAGAACCCCAATTTTGGAGGAGCTCTAGATCCAGGTCCTCGGCCAGCTGGTGCAGATGCGCTGATCTGCTTGGTCTGAAAGACGAAGCTGGTCTCCCACACATCAGGTATCCACAGAGGCAGCCGTAGGCGGTGACACAGAGTCTGTGGCCGTCTGGTCTAAGGCAGCGTGGCTGGGCGCCGAGAAGGGAGGGCCCAAGGGAAGCCGGTTCCCATCTCTACCACTCTACCACGTCTAGCATTAGCAGTGGTAGATGTCTCACACTCACCACCATCTGTGGTTGGTATTAAACATGCTGTACCAAGTGCCACCGTGCGCTAGGCCCCATGCCAAGTGCTTTCCAAGTCCTATTTCACTCCTTCCCCATAACCAGGGAGAAACAGGATCACCTCATTTTATAGGTAAAGTGAATGGAGGCTTAAAGAGGAGAAGTAAGGTATCCAAGGTCACTATTCTCGTGACTGCAGTGATTTGAAGGTCCCCAAAATCCATCTTGAAACTTAACCCCTGAGCACGTTAATCAGTTTAACAACAACCCACAACCTTCGCACCAACTCCCCTGAGCACACGTTAAAGGTTGTGTCTTGGGGAGTAACTGGGATTACAGTCGGAGGTGGATGGCACTGGCAGCTTTTTTTTTTTTTTTTTTTTGACACAAGGTCTCTAGTTGAAACTGACCTGGCACTCACTATGAAGCCCAGGCTGCTCTCGAACTCACAGCGATCCTCCTGCCTCAGCCTCCCAAGTGCTGGGATTATAGGCGTGCGCCACCATGCCCGGCTCAACTGGCAGTTTTTTGAGAAGAGGAAGAGACCTGGGTTGGCACACTCACTGTGTCTCGCGGTGTGATGTCGGCACCATGTCACAATGCAGCAGGAAGACTGTCACTGGAGGCCAGCCTCTCCACCTCGGCCTCCAGAACCTGCTCTACGGAGCAGGCCACACAGTAGTTATTATCCACCCCTGCTGCAGCCCCCGGTCATGGTCACACTTCAAGCGGAGCCAGATTAAGCTGCAAAGGGAATTTGTTAGAACTTGTAGTAAAATCCTGGGAGGCCCAGCATGGCTGCATGCAGGCTTCCCCTAGACCAGGATGTGTCTGACTTTCTGTACCCTGAAATTGGTCCTCTCCACGCACTGCTCTCTACATCCCTGGATGCAGGCCCTCTCCCTCTGCTCAGCGACAAAGGGAAGAAAGCTTCCCTGAAGGACCCCAGGGAACGTGCAGAGGGTTCCTCTGGATCCTCTGGGGCAACATGCTGGTCTTGAACTGGTCACTGCGGTGGGGGTGGGTGTGGCTGATGGGCCAGCTCTGGGTGATCTAGGGAGGGAGTAAACAGACGCCTGGAAAAGGTTCTGCTCAGAGACATTTTGGAGTTGCCTGTGATGTGTGAGGCCAGAGAAGGGCTGGCAGTGGACATCGGTTTGCCATCCTTGCTCTTGGGGGAACTGAGGGCCAGGCCATGGGACAGTGATCTCATGTCTAAAGGCCAATGCTAAATCAAGCATCCCAGTAGCCCTCTCCCCGAACCTGGAGGGGAGAAGTAATTCTCTAATACTTACCCCGAGTCCAAAAGGGAAGCTGGGCAGCAGGTGCTGTGGGATAGGAAGCAAACGTTGACCATGAACTTCTCATTGTATCTCGATGGCTCTTCGAAGAACCCTGAGTCGGGTGACATTTGACCCCTGGTTTCCCGATTAGGAAATGGAGCACAAAGAAGCAAAGTGACTTTTCTGAGATCATTCAGCTGGGGGGGTGGTGAACCCTCTAATCCAGCCCACGCCAGTTCTCTCCAAAGCCTAGTGGTTCTCACAACAGCAGAACAAGGCCACCACAGAGTTTCTACTTTTTAGCAGCACCTGTCACCTTCTAGGTTTCTGGCTCTCACTTGCTCCAGGCTTAACTCTATGAGAACAGTCTGAAGTCTCTTCCTCGGCATGGACTTGCCACTGACCCCATGTCAGGGCCAAGTGTGCTCCAAGGATGCAAGCCAGACCCAGTGGGCCCGCAGCTCTGGCAGCCTGGTAGCGTACAGCAGTGGCACTCCAGAGGGTTGGCATGGCAGGCTGACTTCAGGATCAGGTCCCGCTGCATACTCCCACATGGTGCGTGAAGGAGGACGCGGTCACTGGGCTAAGAGTGTGGATGCCACAGCCACCAGGCTCCTTCCAAAACCCTCTTGCCATGTGGTAACTGAGGGACCACAGGAAGTTCCAAAGCCTTGACAACTGGAGTTGAATCTCTGTCTTTTGTGACTGTGCTGAGGCTTTCGTGAGTTCAGCAAGGTTCCGGGAATGTAGAAAAGCTCAGTTTCAGTCGATAGCCCCAGTGACAGATGCTGTGGTTTTCCCCCTCTCCCTTGCTAAAAAAACAAGTTTTGTTCAAGGCAACAATCGACCCAGCCCAGGCACTAAATCCTGATTGGCCTAAACCAATGTTTCCCAGACTGCGGTAAATTTGTCCCTCAGGCAGGGTCTGGATACTGCTGTCTGCATACTGCTGTCTGGTGGCAGAAGCTAGGCACACTGAAGCTGTGCAACAGTGAGTTGTTGGGCCCAGCAGGGCCAGGCTGAGGAGCTGGTTGAAGCTGGTCCTGTTCCTCACTTTTCCAGCTTCCCTTGCAGCTGGGGGTTGAACCTCCTGACTGAGAAATGGTGTAGCCTAGAGGTCAGAGGGGACCCCTGGGACAGTGTTGCTGCCTCATATCCCCTCCCTACGTTTTTCCCTAAACACAGGTGCAGCACCTGCAGTTGTAAAGTCACCTATGCTGAGGAGGCACAGCAGTACCGCAGTACTGTAGTACTGGAAGAGGCAGTACCACAGGCTGGTCATGCTCCTGCCTCTGCCACTAAACCAGTTCCTGGCATCCCTGCCCTTCAGCTTTTCATTACTGAGAAAAATTAATTCCTGTTTGCTTGTTACTCAAATGACAGTATTCTCCATTACTGATAAGCCAGAAATAATCTTAACAGAAGGAAGATACTGAGAAAAAATGGAAAAAATTCCGATCATCCCATGGTTTGCTTTTGTTTGTATTACTTGGGACTGAACCCAGGGCCTTCACATCGAGCTACATCCCTAGCACATTTTTTATTTGGAGATAGGGTCTCACTAAATCACTAAATTGCTCAGACTGGGGCTTGAATTTGTGATCGTCCTGCCTCAGCCTCCCAGAATGCTGGGATTATAGGCACGCACCACCATGCCTGTCACCCCATAAATTTTTTAAATGGAGAAGTAAAAGCCCAAATGCTTACCATGGCCTGCAAGGCCTGTATGATCTGGCCACTTCCTTTCCCACCTTCCTCCCTCCCTCCATTTCTCCATCCTCTGCAGCAGTCCTGGCTGACTATGGACATCCTTCGGAGCCTGGTCTGCCCTACTTCCTGGCTGGAAGCCTCACCCTTCGGGTCTGGGGCACTTACTCACCAAGCCCTTGCCCATGTACCAGAGTCACGCCAGCCTGCTCCCCTACACCTGTTCTCCCTCCTGTGTTGTCCCTCACGGTGATGCCCCAGTCACTCAGTACTGTGTGGCAGCATGTGGGAAGCACTCAAATATTCAGGGAAGGGAAGAAACAGCCTTTCATTTCCACGTTTATTAATTCCACTTTCAGGATGAGATCCTGAAAGTTTTTGTCACCTGAAAAGTCCTTTCTACTGAGTAATATGCCTCTTGTTTATAACTTTGCTGTGATCACACAAAACACCAAGTCTTTCTGGAGCAAGCTGTGCCGAGTGGCTGGCAGCTGCTGAGATGGAGCGGCCGTGGCTGCAGGACGCCAGCCCCGACGCTCTTCTCGGTCAGTAATTCACACCCCGCATCGCGGCCACCGTGGTGGCGAGGCGTCGTGGCAGGCCTTTGCTGAGCTGCCTGTAACCCTCAGGCTTGGCCTTCAAGAGCGTCACGATGCTCTGGAGTGTGCGGGACGGCTGCAGGCCCAGGGCATCCACCACGTTGATCAGGTAATCTGCGGGGTGGGGAGGACACTCGGCTCAGATGCCTGCTGGGTGGAGCCCCAAAGGCGTCCTTGAGTGGGAAAGAGGGCAGCCCTCTAAGTCCCCAAATCCTGGGCCGCAGTGCTGCCCCCAGCAGACAGGCCTTCGTTCAGAGGGCTTTTCCAGCCGCCTCAGCCTGGCCTGCGAGCCTGGCTGAGTCCAGGAATTCTCACTCACTAAAGCACTGACTAGAACCAACACCACACCCCTCACCAGCACACACAGGCTTGTGTGAGCAGCTACCACAACCTTCCCGCTGGATCCGTACAGCGATGGCGAGGGCAGCAAGGCCTAGTATGACGCAGGTTCTGCTCCCAGACAACCCCGGGGGGACCAGCTCCAGGCAGACTCTGAGCCCCCCGCAGACCAAGTCAGGAGAACATCGCGAGGACTGCGGGGTCCGTCGCTCTGTAAGGCGGCCCGGGGGTCTGCACACCAGGATAGTGGTCAGCACTGCAGGAGGGAGGAAAACCCAGACAGCCAGGGAGGACCCTTCCACGCGTGAGTCTTCAGCCCACCTGCTGATGCAGTTAGGACCCAGCAAGTGGCACAGGTGGGGAGGAGAGGTGGGGCAGAGGACACGAACGCAACTTGCTGTGTCAGAGGTGATCGATAACTGGGTATCGATCCTCCATCCCGGCTGACACAACCCAGACCCTCCACACATTTCCAGCTCCTTCCCTCATCCTGCTCTGAAGGACTGGAAGGAGGCACTGCCCAGATGTCCCCTGCTACTTTCTGGGGCTCGGAGAAGGCCTGGTCTTCCTTGTGTCCGCTCTGAGGCTTGACTCAGGGCCAGCCCTGCAGGCAGCAGTGTGCTAGCCGATTCCCTCCAACTCAGGGTGAGCTGATTTCCGGGGAGAGGCACAGAAGGAAGGCGCCCGCTCCTTCACCAGGTTACCCGCAACCCTGTGAGCTCCACTTGGCCTAAGTGAGACGCTGTAAACGGGAAGACCTGGGCCACCATGACATTTTTTGTTTGGACAACAGTGTGTTCTGTTTTCACGTTAATGCTTAATTTAAGTCTTCCAGAGTGCACTGCTGCAGACCCCATCCCTCTCCACTGTCTTACATCCAGACAGCTTCACAGCCAAAGCTCAATGTGTGAGCAAATGCATCTAGAGATCACCGGGGTGGGGCCTAGAAATAACTCACAACAGAAATCTAGGGGCTGTCCTGAATCGTACTCCACTCCCACCTCCGGCTGGTTCTCCGCCACACGCTCCTTCCTACGCTAACGGAATCTGACATCTGAGTTTCCTCATTTCCTCTTCTCTTAATGCTGGGCCCAGAGAAACGGGTAAAACTCCGGCTGCTCCTCTGGCAACCCCTGAGAGCTGACTATGAAAGGAGCAGGGCCTGGCAGTCGAGCCACTCTGGAACCTGCAAGGCCCCCTCATTTCCAACTCGTCTGCTGCAAAACGACCGGGAGTTTGCCGGTTCAGCCTGCTGCCACGCAGGTGAACACGATGGCTGGTCCTCGGGGAACTGACCTTCAAGGCCCCTTCCACCCTTCCTCTTGACCACTCTGAGCAGCCTGGGCTCAGGACAAGCAAAACAACGGCAAGATAGCAAGAGCCCGGGGAGTCCTCTGCCACCTACCAGCAGCATCCCCAGGCTCTGAGCGGTGAGGACTTGAAGCACGTGGTCAAAGGGGGATGCAGGACATGGCCTCTGACGGCGGACCGGCTGGACGCTGACGGAGACCTACAGCAGCCCTCTACTGGCCTGTTACACAAGAGCACCTCCCTCATGGGATTGCACAAGGTAGCGGATGCGAGGGCCTGGTTCAGTGCCGGGCATGTCTGGTACTCAGGAAGCGCTTAATAAACAGCAGTTTGTAATTATCTGTAACCACGGTGCAGCAGGCCAAGCAAAGCTTGCTCCCTCATTGCAGCTAGCTCGCTGACCTCCCGCAGTCCTCAGCAGCTATCCAAATCCAAATCCCCCTCAGCAATGGCCAACACACACCTGGGCTGATGAGATCAGATCCCAGGGATGGGGCCTGGAGAATCTGCATTTTTAACCAGCCTCATGGCCAGACCCAGAGTTGATGGTGAGAGGAGACACTGAGGTACATTCCTAGAGGCCAAGGGGGAACAGCAGCTACAGCACTGCCCCCCACCTGGCACTGGGCACCCACCGATGTCCGTGGCCAGCTGCTTGGTGGAGTGCGGGGTCAGCTCGGGGATCTGGAGAATCACATCGCAGTAGGTCTGCATGGTGGCCCTGGCGATGGATCCCAGCCAGTGGTCGGCCATGTTGTCCAGCTCAGGTGGCTCATCCCCTGGAAGAGAAAATCAGGTTAGAGCACTCCTCTGGGCCGCCTGACCTCAACAGGGGCTGTGCGCACAAACGTGCCTGGGCGGACGTCCACACACAATCTGGTCTCCATGGGGAGGAGACTCCAGAAACAGATGATGGAGTCACATCTGCTGGCACCGACCTCAGCTTCTGCCCATGGCTGGAGGAACAGTCTGACCACAGCCATCGCGAGGGAGCCCGAGGCAGCCTGGCAGGGCCAGCTCCCCGCAGTGTGGGCACTTCCTGTGTGAGCAGTCCACACCACCCACACCCACACATGAACGTGAGTGGGGCTCCACAGCCTCTGCACGCTCGGCACCCACCCCGGCTGCACCTTCCACCTCCGCCCAGAGCTGACTCCTGCTTCTCAGATCTCCTGCCCCACAGCAGCCAGCACTTGGTACCAGCACTGGAGAAGACCATGATGAGGACAAGGCTGTGAGTTTCCTACCAGTGGCTGTGATACGACGCAGTTTGTGTGTGCATATGTGTGTGTGGGCATGACACAGAAACACAGGCTGACAGACGTCTGCAATAATTTAACTTCTGAAGTTTAAGAACTGGGCAAAGGACTTGCAAAGGGTTTCAACCTCCACTGCATCCCTTAGAAAAAGCTTGAGCCAAAAAGCTCCTATTGGCCACACACCATCTGGCTCTTATAACCTGCAAAGTTCAAATGCTAGAAATTACCTGATTGCATGTGGATGCTTACTGTACAAGTCTTTCCGATCTTCTGCATGCTAAAAATTGCCGTACCAAAATTTCGAGACGAGGGGAAAGAAAAAGACATACCCAGATTGGCTGTTGTTGGTACTGTTATGTGTTTGAGCATTTTTGAGATTCGCTTTGTGGTTAGGCCATCCTAACACAGCCCAACCCGGTGCCGAGCACACAGTAAACAATTAGTAAGCTCTGCTAAGTGAGTGAGCAAAGGCACTCGTGAGGACAAACAATTACGTGCTCAATGTACCCATATATATTTTAGTGGAACACAGGACACTGTGTTCTTCCTGATATGAGGCAGAAGACGGTATACAGAGTGTCACGAGCTGCTTTCCACCGCATCTGAGCCAGCATTTAATCATTACCAATGAGGGACATATAAAGCAGTTATGGGTGAGATGATGTGACATCTGAGATTTGATTTAATTGCTCCAGCAAAAAAAGTGAGGGGAATATAAAGACAAGAAGCTGTTCTTGAGGCTGGATTATACTATTTGTATTAAATTCCTAAGGGGAAAAACTGCTGAACATAAAAAGCGTATTAAGGAACTGGGGGTGTAGCTCAGAGGCAGATGTGTGATTCACCTGAACAAGGGCCTGGTTTGATCCCTAAAAATTTCCATAAATAAAAAAAATCACATTAGTAAATAGATGAAAATAAAAGTCAGTCATATAACCTCATAGCCCTTTGATATTGATTACCAACATTTTGGTGTATGTGTATTTTTTATTTGTTTTTTTTGTTTTTTGAGACAGGGTCTCACTATGCAGTTGAGACTGACCTGGAACTCACTATGTAACCCAGGCTGGTCTCAACTCACAGCGATCCTCCTGCCTCAGCCTCCCGACAGCTAGGATTACAGGTGTGTGCCACCACGCCTGGCCTGTGTATTTCTTATACATGATAGAAAAATACATTCTTGTAAAAAAATGCAGGCAGTACTGAAATTTAGTGAGTAAAAGTAGAAGTCCTTCAAGCCTCTGTCCCTCCCTGCCAAGAGTGGCCTCACCCCTGCGGGTATGTGCTCTCCCAGACAGATCTGTCTCGGTGCTTTGACATGAATATGTAATGCACAAGATGGGGGTTTTCAAAGCACAGAAATTACTATGTATTATTTTATACCTTCTTTTCTTTTCTTTTCTTTTCTTTTTTTTTTTTTTTGCCAAGGATCAAACTCAAGACCTTTTGCTTGTGAAGCAGGCATGGCACCACTGAGCTAAATCCCTGGTCCTGTACTTTATTTTCTTTCTTTTTTTTTTTGGTACGGGAGATCGAACTCGGATCCTTGCACCTGCAAGGCAGGCGGCAGAACCACTGAGCTAAATTCCCAGCCCTGTACGTTATTTTCTTAACAGTGTTTTTGCAGATAATTTTAAGTACAAATAGTTCTCATTCCTTATAAAGAAAATTTATAAACGATGGGGACATCACAAGATGCTACTCCCCAAGTAAGAACTAGAGCGCTGTGCTGAAGTGCCCGCCGTTATGAACACAGCAGTGAGCCTCATATGCACCTCTGTGGGCACAAAAATGCGGGTTTCCCCAGATCGGACAAAAGAGAGGAGCTGCTGCATCCAAGGGGTGGGTTTAACTCAACTCCTATAAAGATAAAGCTTTACCAATTTACTCTCCATCACAGGGCCCTGTCTTTCATTCTTTTGCTCATTGAAATCATAAGATACTGTACATTGTACATATATATATATGGGAGAATAAAGCCCATGGCCACGACGAAACCCCCCGGCGCCTCCTGCCAGTGCCCAGGAGCCCCACATACCCCTACAGGCACCAGTCGGCCTCATGCCCTCCTCCCACCCCACCCACCGCCTGTGCCACACACGGACCCATCCAGCTCGGCCTATGTGGATCCTTCCCGTCTCCTTTCTCTAACTGGCAGGACCGTGAGGTTTATCCACGTCACTGTGTTGCCACAATCTGTTCCTTTTCCATACTAAATACTATTTCTCTGTATCGCCATACGACAAAGGATACACCCACGTCATTGTCGACGTTTGGTAGCTTCCAGATTGGGACCATTACGAGGCCACTATGAAGATCCTTCTAGGTGCACGGGGACACGTGTGAAGAGGTTCTAGGGTCTGTGCCCAGGAATAGAATCCGATGGGCTGCAGGACAGGAAGCGCATCACCTGCCCCTGGAGATGACAGCTGTTTCCAAAGTGGACAGGCCGACTCACAGGGGTGGGTCGCCTTGCGCTGGGTTCCTCTTCCTGCATTTGTATTTACAGTAGCTTTTAAAATGGAATCACCACATATACCACTATATAACCGATCTTCACATTGAATGTGCTGAGAACATCTTTCCAAGTGATTAAATACTCTTTTATAATACTGTCATGGCTGCACAGCATTTCACTATTGGATGTGCTAATAAAACAATATTCACAGTTTCTCACTTTTCAATTTATGGCTTTTATAGATTCATACCTGTAATCACTTTATTAGCATAAGCATCTAGCACAACTCCTGACCTAAAAGGTATGCATCTCATTAAGGCCTTTGACTTACGTCAAAGAGCAACCCAGAAATTCAAACGGTACAATTTAAACTGCTTCCTTCCTTGTTACCCAACATTAACTCCAATCACTTTATTATAAATGCAGCGTCCCCAGCATCTGTGCACAGCTGGCTCCAGGACCAGCCACAGGTCCCAGACTCCTGAGGCCCTCGAGTACCTTACACGAAAAACTTGGTACTGCATGTAACCTACACATACCCGCTTCCACTGAGTCGGCTGTAGAGCATCTGCAGGACCTAGGCCACTGCAAAGCTGTGTACACAGTTGTAGTTTTGCTTAGAGAATCAAGGCAAGAAAAAAATACATGTTGGTTGAATCCTCACATGTAGAATCCACATATACAGGCGGCTAACTGTCATGTACAAAGTACTATGCCCCATTCTTGCATGTGGTTATTTGAAGATAATGAAGTTAACCAGATCTTCGTGTGTTTTTTAGGTTATGTGAATGCCTTCGTGTTATTTATTTATTTTTCTGTGGGGTATTTACCCTTTATTGCCCTTTGTTTCGGTACTGGGATTGAACTCAGGATCTTGTGCTCGCAAGACAGGCATGGCGACACTGGGCTAAACCCCCAGCCCCAATCTTTTTAAAAAAACTGATATGTAAAACCTTTTATAAAGTCATTGGTCATAAATGTTGCTATTTCTTCCAATTTATCATGTACTCTTCAACATCCTCTACAGTTTCTCTTTTCATTTTAAAAGGTCTCCCAAGGTGTGGTGGTGGATGCCTGAAATCCTAGCACTTAGGAGGCTGAGGCAGGAGGATCATGAGTTTGAGACCAGCCTCGCTGCACAGTGAGTTCAAGGCCAGCCTGAACCACATGGTGAGAACCTGTCTCAAAATAAATAAATAAAAATAAAAGGTCTCCCCTTCCTTACTCCTAAGATTATACTAATATTCACTCATACTTAGGCTTACTGTTATGGTTTGGATCTTGATGTTCCCCAAAGCCTCATGTGGTCACAGGCTGGATGTAGAGTGTGTGAAGCTGGAATTGATTCACGATGCAATGCTAGGCTCAAGGGCACTAAGTAGGGTTAAGGGTGTGAGTGCTGCCCGCCCTAAGTGGTCTGAATAAGATAAAAGGGGCAGGGAGCCCCTGTCAAGGTCCCTCGTTGCCTTTGCTGCCTTGTATGCACCATGTTGTTCCTGCTCTGCCCTGCCTGTTTGTCGTCCCTGACTCAAAGCCAGCTGACCACAGACTGAACCTCTATGGACTGTAAGCCTCATAAACCCTTCCCCTCTGACTCTGGGTGGCAGGGAGAAAAGTAACTTATTGAGTTTCACACGTTAAAGTCTAAACTGTAAGTACTTCTCATTTTACACAATCATATGCGTGTCCTTCATGTTTATAAGCTTATGAAACTTAGAAGTTTTGTCTGTGACATTTTGGGTTTTCAGTTTTTGGGTTTTTTGTGACAGGGTCTCACTCTATAATTCAGTCTGGCCTTAAACTCACTATGTAGCACCAGCTGCCTCAGCCTCCTGAGTGCTGTGATTACAGGAAAGCACCTCCATGCCCAGCTTGTTAATAACATTTCTGCAGATGATTTATGGGCATTTGACAACAATGTCTCTTCCCTGTGGGATAAAAGTCTGATGTGTTGATTAAATTGAGCACACTGATTATCCTGCTCAGAGAGCCTCTCTCTCCCTCTCTCCCTCTCTCCCTCCCTCCGTCTCGCCCTCCCTCCATGTTGCTCAGGGCAGTCTAGAACTCCTGGGTCCAAGCAATCCTCCCGCCTCAGCTTCCTGATGAGTAGGAGGGACCACAGACACATGACACACCACTCAGCTCAATTCCTCTTTCATCCTCATTAATTTTTTGATCTGTTAAAGCCAAAAAGAAGAGTTTTCTCCAAGGTAATGTGGCTCTATCAAATTCCTGTCACACTGTCTGACAGCTGCTCTTTTTATATTCTAGTGCGGTGTTACCTGACATAGTAACAGTTATAGGCTCACTGTGGGATCTGTATTTCAGCAACATAAAAGAATCACTTTGGTCCCACTTGCTATCTTTGATTTGAAGTGACTTCATCTTACAGTAATGCAGTCATCCTGCTTCCTTTTTATTTGCATTTACACAGGATATCTTTTAGCATGCTTATATTTAACGTGCTGAAGTGATTTTTTTTTTTTGTCAGTGTGGTAACTCCCTAGGAACTGCTAAATCTACAAAGCAAGTTGATTTTTTTTTTTCTTTGTACAACCTAGCAAGAAGGGTCAAGGAGGAACCTATAATGCCCAGTGTTAAGAATTAAGAACTTTTGGGCTGGGGATTTCGCTCAGTGGTTCCACCGACTGCCTTACAAGTGCAAGGACCCAAGTTCGATCCCTGGTACAAAGCAAAAAACAAAAACCGAAGAATTAAGATAACTTTTGATCAACAAGTATGTGGTTCCTGTTGAAATCTGTCTGGCCCAAGTAATTTTTAAAAAGGAAGAATTTAAATTTATTTGTAATTTTGCCTTGTTAATTTAGAGATTGAGGAGTCTGTGGAGTTAGAAGTAAGCTATAGCCAGAGGCATGTGGAAAATAAATGCTGCTTTTATGCCAAAGAGTCGATTTCTGACCTGGAGCAAAACTGCTCTCATGGGATGGCACTGCACGTCAGGGTCAGGGAGCGGAGAGCTGAGCGCTGGGGGGCCCTTCTGTGAGCAATGGCCTGGAGGAGCTGTGGCCTGGGGGTCTCTTGGGGCTCCGCATAGCTCCCAGGAGGGCTCTGCACACAGCATAGTAGCGTCAGGACACCGCAGGCCCTGCCCAGACTCCCACCGAATATTCCAACAGCTGCTTCAGTGGAGTTTGCGGAGACACATGTGTTGAGGGGCAGGGGTGTCGGAAGCCCCCGAGCTGCTCCTGGCGCCCGCTGTCCCACTGTCACCACTGCCTGCTCTCACCTTGCTCAGGAGGAAACGGTAGCTTCCCAGCACGCAAGGCCAGCTCCAAGGCAGAGTCCTCCTGAGTCACAAATGGCTCGAGATTCAGGGGCAGGGACATGATGTACTGCCCGATCTGAAACAAGAGGGCACTTTCAGCCTGCTATGATGCTCAGATGAAGGGGAAGACAAAACCTCAGGGTCCGCGCCAGCACAGCATGTGGCAATACCTTTTCTTAAGGAAACATCTTTAAAAGAAAAAACCAAAGGTCATTTGCATAAGACTGTAGATGCATCCTTCTCAGGAAAGGCCTTGGTGTTCTGGAATGTTCAACACAACCTACCTCATGAGGTAATGGGGATCAAAGTGCTTTGCCAGAGCTAAAGCCCTCTGCAAATATGAGTTGTTATTGCTGTTCACAGGCAAAAGCCTGTAAAATGCCAGTGTCAACAAGTGCGTGGCTGACCAGGAATTCAAACCCCATCCTCTAGATCTGGTTCTGGTTCTCTTCCTTTGAGAGGATTTAACCAGGAGAAGGAAAGAATTTTGTCTGAAAACAACAATTTATAATTACAAATTAATTTGGGGATAAAATTAATATCATTTCTTAATACAAACTAGAAAATAAAGATCAGCAAATAAAAATCCGCATGGGGTCTGGAATTTAGCTCAGTGGTTCCATTGCTTGCCTCAAAAGCACAATCCCAGTACAAAAAAACAAAACAACAACCACAAAATCCCCAACTTTGGCTAGTGGTGAGTCACAAAGGGTACAGCTGTACGACAGTGGGGACAAGCCCACAATTAATACCATATTTGTCTCACGTTTGTCAGGGATGCCTCTAACAGTCATTGTGGGTATATTTTAGGCACCTATTTCTATTACAACTCACAGCTGTTTCATGTTTTACAGTAAGTATATGCTTTACTCAAAATAAGGTAGATTTTTTTTTTTAAATTATAACTACACATTTCTTTTTTAGTCTTTGAGCCTGCTGCGTTTTGGTTTTGGATTTGGGCCATTGTTCCATGACATCCACCTCACCGATACTAAATTCTGCGAGCTACACGTCACAGGACATCAGTCAGCTCTTCCGACCTGGCCTCACGCCCCCCCCCCAAAGTGACAAGCTCCTCGCTCCTC